ATTGCGCATTTAACTGGGCATATCTCCCCTTACTATCCCTGTTTCCTTTTGCTTTCCTCCTTTCTTGGGCTACTTCCAGTGTCTCAGCAGACAACCATTTTGCCTTCTTGGTTTTCTTTTTCTTTGGAACGTACTTTGTTGCCGCCTCCTGAACAATGTCGTGGACTTCTGTCCATAGTTCTTTTGGGACTCTATTTACTAGACTTGGTTGATCAAAAAAAAGGTTCAAATCTCGTTTCGGATGTAGGGGGCACTGGCGATTTGATTTTGAAATGATTTCTGAAATTTTCTTGAAAAAAAGATCGGAAATATCAGAAATCCGAATCACTTCGTTAATGGAAGGTGCCCCTCCCTCTTCTGTTTTCCAGCTGATTTTAACATTTCTGTCCCTGACGGGGATTTGAACCTGGAGAGTTCTGTTTCCAAGGCGGAAGCAATGCCAGTAGGCTATTTCCCAGCCATTGAGTTGCATGGGAAAATAGGAATGTTTATCTTCCCTCGATCTTTGCACTGTTTCTTTGTATACGTGGGTGCGAGAGCCTCTCTCTCTCACTCTCCGGCGGTCAGAGGTTGTGAAGTCTGCTGGAATCTAGGCAAGTGAGGACTATATATCTCTGGAATGACCAGGGTGGGAGAAAGAACTCTTGTCTGGTGGAGGAAAGTGTGAATGTTGCAATTGTTCATCTTGATTAGCATTGAATGGCCTCACAGCTTCAAAGCCTGGCTGCTTCCTGCCTGGGGAATCCTTTGTTGGGAGGTGTTAGCTGGCCCTGATGGTTTCCTGTCTGGAATTTTGAGTGTTGCTCTTTATTTACTGTGCTAATTTTGGAGGGTTTTTTTAAATACTGGTAGCCAGATTTAGTTGAAAAGTAGTTGTTCTACTCCAGAATCTTTGTGTAGCACAAACTGTGTGCATGTGTGGAGAGTCATGGAGCTCCCCTTTTGTGGTGGACACGTGCTATCTTTATTGCAGGGAAAGGCTTTGCTGCCTTCTCTTTGGACACCTTTAGATTCACTTTATTTTATTCTTAGACAAAGACTGCTGCTCAACCATCTCGGCTAATGAGCATCAAGGCAGTGTGGAATTATTCTGTGATGTTTGGATGTCTCCCACGGTTATTTTGACTTTCAGAACCATTAAGTAACTCTGGCATAGCTAAACAAACGCTCTTGAAATCTCGCCGTTTCCCTTCCCTGGCGGCGAACAGCGATGCAAAGAGGGACGAGGTGGGCGTGGCCAAGCACAGCTCTCCTTGGAGGTCACGCCCTCAGTGTAGCCTTCAAGAAGACCTGTGCTTAGCCACGCCCACCTCGCCCCTCTGCGTCGCCGCTCGCCGCCAGGAAAGGGAAACCGTGAGACTTTAAAACCGTTCGTTAGGCTTTGCCAAAGTTGCTTAATGGCTCTGAAAATCAAAATAACTGTGGGAGACATCCGAAAATAATTCCAAACAATGGGTAAGTGGTTTAAATTCGGAATTGCTCCTCCCACTATTCCTGCATGCTTCGAAATTGGTTCAGAAGGGAATTTAATCCGAATTAATTCCGATTTAAGAAGCTTCCGAACGAACTTGACCAAGCCTACTATTTACTAAATCTACTCCTTTAATTCTGTTCTTCACTTCCACTGCATATTCGCTAGGAATGTTAGTGAGATCGAACTGGTCTGTGTGTTTTCCCTGATCTCTTTAGTTTTATTCTAAATTTGGCAATAAGAAGTTCGTGATCTGAGATACAGTCAGCCCCAGGTCTTGTTTTCACCGACTGGATGGATGTCCGCCACCTTTGGCTGCAAAGGATGTAGTCAATCTGATTTCGGTGTTGACCATCTGGTGAGGTCCATGTATGAAAGCCGTCTTTTAGGTTGTTGGAAGAGAGTATTCGTTATACACAGCGAGTTTTCCTGGCAAAATTCTATCCCTGCGTCCCGCTTCATTTTGTTCTCCCAGACCATGCTTGCCTGTGATTGCTGTTGTCATTTGACTTCCCACCTTGGCATTCCAGTCTCCTGTAATGAAAATAATGTCTCTTTTTGGTGTATTATCCAGTAGGTCCTGCAGATCCTCATAGAACTGATCTACTTCTGCTTCTTCAGCAGCTGTGGTTGGGGCGTATATTTGGATCACTGTGATGTTGAAAGGCCTTCCTTGCACTCGAATTGAGATCATTCTGTCATTTTTGGGTTGGATCCAAGCACCGCTTTAGCAACATTCTGATTAATTATGAAGGCTACTCCATTTCTTCGGTGGTATAGTACAAACTATAGTGAATGCGTGGTATGTACTAGGCTATGATGGTCAGTTCTAGCTATGCTGATGGTATAGAACAAGCTATAGTCACTAAGTGGTATATACTAGGCTATGATGGTATGTACTTAGACTATGTGGTATATACGTGCTATAGAATGCCTGTTTAGATTGCTGAGACGGCTTTGGTCGCCTTGGTGGATGACCTCCGCAGGGAACTGGACAGGGGAGAGTGACCTTGCTGGTTCTCTTGGACATCTCAGCGGCTTTCAATTCAACAGACCATGGTACCCTTCTGGGAAGACTCTCTGGGATGGGACTTGGGGGCACGGTTTTACTGTGGCTCCGGTCCTTCCTAGAGGGTCATTCCCAGTCAGTGAAGCTGGGGGACACCTGCTCGGACCCCTGGCCATTGACCTGTGGGGTCCCACAAGGATCTATTTTGCCCCCCATGCTATTCAACATCTACATGAACCCACTGGGAGAGGTCATCCGGAGTTTTGGAGTCCGGTGCCACCTCTACGCAGATGACACCCAACTCCACTATTATTTTCCACCTGAATCCAAGGAAGCCCCTCAGATTCTGGACTAGTGCCTGGCTGCTGTGTCGATCTGGATGAGGACGAACAAGCTGAAGATTAATCCTGACAAGACAGAGGTCCTCCTGGTCAGTTGCTTGCCTGACCGGGTTATTGGGTGGCAACCTATGCTGGACGGGGTTGCACTTCCCTTGAAGTCACAGGTCCGCAGTTTGGGGGTCCTCCTGGACTCAGCACTGATGCTTGATGCAAAGGTGTCGGCGGTGGCCGAGAGGGCCTTCACACAATTAAAACGTGTGCGTCAACTGCGACCGTACCTCATTAAGTCAGACTTGACCACGGTGGTTCATGCCTGTTACCTTGAGATTGGATTACTGCAATGCACTCTACATGGGGCTACCCTTGAAGACGGCCCAGAAACTACAACTCGTCCAACGTTCAGCAGCCAGACTAGTAACGGGGACAAATTACAGGGAGCAGTCAACCCCCGTTTAAGGAGCTCCATTGGCTGCCGTTTATTTTCCAGTCCCAATTCAAGGTACAGGTCATCACAGTGTGGGACCCCCCTACCTTCATGACCGTCTCTCCCTCCATGAACCTGCCCGATCCCTTCGATCCTCGGGGGAGGCTCTTCTTTCACCCCTACTGCTATGTCAGGCCCACCTTGTGGGAACAAGGGAGGGAGCCTCTTCCTCAGCCCCCCCCCCCCCCGACTATGGAATACATTGCCCGATGAGATTAGGCGAGCCCCCACTTTAGAAAGTTTTAAGAAGAATCTCAAAACTTGGCTCTTCTGCTGCACTTTTGGAGATTAACCATATAACCTCATATTGCCATAAACCCTCAATATTTGTTTTTAGTGCACACCTCCTCCCCCTGTGTATGAAGGTCCCTATCTCGACCCCTTCTCGGAAGAGTTCCTCCCTCACAAACAATCTGCTTCACTGCTGTCTCACCCCCTGCTTTTACCTTTTAGTATTTTATTCTGTACGTGTGGCCCGCTCACTGTTCTGTTACCAATGATTTTATTGTAATTTTATATTTATTTATTTATTTACTTACTTACTTTGCTTGTATACCGCAGTTTCTCAGCCCGTAGGCGACTCAACGTGGTTCACAACAAGAGCAAAAGTCAATCATAACAACATACAATTTAAAACCATTAAGAGCATAGTATACAAAGTAATGACACATCAATAACAACACAATAACACAATAACATCTCATAACTAGAGTCGTGATCCAATATTGTTTGTTGTATTCTTACAGTCCATGTTTTATGGAATTGATTATGTTGTTTATGTTTTGATTTCATTTATTTGTATTGCATTGTTGGGCTTGGCCTCATGTCAGCTGCCCCGAGTCCCCATTGAGGAGATGGTGGTGGGGTACAAATGAAGATTATTATTATTATTATTATTATTATTATTATTAGACTATAAAACAGCTGTTGTTTACACCATATGTTCTTCAGTTGTTCTCTGGATTTCTCATTGGCACTTTTCATGAGTTTCTTCACCTCCTCCATAATGCCGTTTTCAGGTTTCTATTTTAGGATGGTGCCTTCAGTCTTGCCAGACCCTAGCCAGACCCCAACCACACAGTTTCATTCAACCTATTCATCACAGAAGGAATAAAAGGGGGGGGGGGGGGTGGGGAGAAATGGAATGTAGATAGAGAAGAGGTGCTGAGAGAAGGACAAAGACAGTAATGAGGTGTAGATGGAAGGAGAGAGCTTGCACGAGCATATTTGCAACCTGTACTATAAAAGGGCTCAGCTGCATCTCAGCTGCGTGGCACATTTCCTTGCACACCCAATGGTTTGTTTGTTTTTCGGCCAGAGTAAATGTATGGTCCCCTCCCAGTCACTAAGGTCACCGCACAGTTCTAGACAAACAGAATGAATGGAGTAACAAACCAGATCACAAAGAACATCCAAGACATAACAGACCGGATCGATGCAAGGATTGCCCGTTCACAAAAGAGTCAACACCAGGCCTCTATGAGAAGATAGGGCACATACATTAGATGAAAGCGGACAAGCTGTGACAAAACCATCTTCAATACGAGGAGGAACAAATGCCCCACATAACTCTACCAGATTCTGAAGTTTCCAGAGTTTCTCCAAAAGAGACAGGCAAAGATCCTGCCTTCTTCTGCTGGCGATTGCAGGCCTCCAACCGCTTCTCCCTTCTGTCTGTCTGTCTGCTGCACCAGCGTTTGCAAGGGCCGCTTGGCCGGACTGGGAGGCGGTCTGCATCGGGTGCTGCCATGGTTGTTGCTGCTCTAAGGCCGCGGCCTGAGAATCGCCCATCCGGCAAGGGCGCGAGGCAGGCAAGTGGTCAGAGCCAAAGCCCGCCTCGCCTGCCTCACACTCTCGCCACTTGCCAGCCGGCAGGGATGTGAGCCAGGAAAAAGGCTCCATGTAAGGCCAGGCCGCAAAGTGGCTCATCCCATACCCGCCTCTCACCGGCTGCCGGGTTGCTGGAGGCAAGAGCCTCCCCAAGCAACTGCAACTCCCTAATGTCAAGGTATGTATATTTTCCCCAAACTTCTCCAGTATTTTATATTGATCATGGGAGTTCTGTATCCCAGGTTTGGATCAATTCCATGATGGTTGGCGTTCAGAATGCTCTTTAATGACAGGGGAACTACATCCCACTGTACCTCTAATTGTGGTATGCTGGTTATTATCATAGAATTATCATAGAATCATAGTATCATAGAGTTGGAAGAGACCTCATGGGCCATCATCCAGTCCAACCTCATTCTGCCAAGAAGCAGGAATATTGCATTCAAAGCACCCCTGACAGATGGCCATCCAGCCTCTGTTTAAAAGCTTCCAAAGAGGGAGCCCCCACCACACCCAGAGCATTATTATATCTCCAATAATATTATATATCCAAGCAACTGCAACTCCCAAATGACAGGGTCTATTTTCCCCAAACTCCGCCAGTGTTCAAATTTGGGCATATTAAGTATTCGTGCCACATTTGGTCCAGATCCATAGTTGTTTGGGTTCACAATGCTCTCCAGATGTAGATGAACTACATCTCCCCTAAACCACTATCAATTCCTCCCAAATCCCTCCAGTATTTTTGTCTGACATGGGACTTCTGTGTGGAGGTCTCAGGGGTCTGTGGAAGACAGCGCTGAATCGGTTGAAGGCACTGCAAATCCCATCATCTGTTTTCCATACTCCCCCAAACATATTTTTTTCTGATTAATCATGATGCTTTAATTATGTTGGATTTGTAACACATCCCTCATATCAGATATTTACATTACGATTCATAACAGTAGCAAAATTACAGTTATAAAGGAGCAACGAAAATAATTTTATGGTTGGGGGTCAGCACAACATGAGGAACCTTATTTAGGGGTCACAGTGTTAGAAAGGTTGAGAACCAGAAGGTGGGCTTCTCAGAATCTTTTTGCACAGTCTGCCAGGGCTTTGGTTGTGCTTCTTTGCAAACTTTGTGTTTTTTAAATCTGTTTGTTTTGTTCTGTTAGAAATATGATGGCCATGTATAAATATGTGAGAGGAAGCCACAGGGAGGAGGAGGAGGGAGCAAGCTTGTGTTCTGCTTCCCTGGAGACTAGGACGCAGTGGAAGAATGGCTTCAAACTACAAGAGAGGAGATTCCACCTGAACATGAGGAAGAACTTCCTGGCTGTGAGAGCCGTTCAGCAGTGGAACTCTCTGCCCCGGAGGGAGTGTGGTGGAGGCTCCTTCTATGGAAGCTTTTAAACAGAGGCTGGATGGTCATCTGTCAGGGGTGATTTGAATGCAATTTTCCTGCTTCTTGGCAGAAGGGGTTGGACTGGATGATGGCCCAGGAGGTCTCCTCCAACTCTAGGATTCTAGGATTCTAATGATAGATCTGGACCCCCTGGTGAGGTATGGGGGAGGACAGACAAAGGATGATGGATTTGTAGTACTTTCAACCCTTTTAAACAGAGGCTGGGTGGCCATCTGTCAGGGGTGCTTTGAATGCAATATTCCTGCTTCTTGGCAGATTGGGGTTGGAGTGGAGGATGATGGCCCAGGAGGTCTCTTCCAACTCTATGATTCTAGGATTCTATGATTCGCCTTCCACAGACCACTGTGGCCCCCAACAAAGACCGATAAAGACCAAACTTGGCACACAGAGCCCCCATGACCCACTCTACATCCAGGTTCAATTTGAAGGAGGACAAACCATGGACGATGGGACTTGAAATACCTTCACTCACTTCCTTTAACTACAGCAACACTCATCCAATTACCTAGACAGACCAAACTTGGCACAGAGAGCTCTCATGGCCAACTCAACACTGTGGTCCAGTTTAGGGAGGATCATCATCATCATCATCATTTAATAACTTACTAATCGCCCTCCATCTGAGAATGCTCTAGGCCAGTGTTTCTCAACCTTCCGAATGCCACGACCCCTTAATACGCTAATGAAGGTGGTCAGTTGAAACATTCACACCTAGCTCTAACAGAGAAGAGCTCTTTGCCCCACCCCAGCCATTCCACAGATATAAAACCCATTGTCCTAATTCCAACAGACCTCACTACCTCTGAGGATGCTTGCCATAGATGCATGGCCCTATAGCCCGAAAAAACCCACAAGAACCTATTGATTCCAGCCATGAAAGCCTTCGACAATGCATATATAGATACATATATACACACACACACAATTTCCCTCGTTTCCAAGAGACCCCCCCCCCATGCTGTGAGTAGGACTGCCAGGGATGTGGGCGAAAGGTCAGGAGGGAGTGCTTCTGGAAGAGGGAGGGCCTCCCCGCAGGCTTAATCGAATGCTCGTTGGAACAGCCAGGTCTTCACTTTCCTCCGAAACGCCAACAGGGAGGGGGACGATCTGATATCTGTAGGAAGGGCGTTCCACAGCCGAGGGGCCACCACTGAGAAGGCCCTGTCTCTCGTCCCCGCCAGGCACGCCTGTTATGCTCCAGATAGGAAACAATCAGGGACAGCTAATCACCTCTCAACAAAAAATTCCCCCAGGCACTAAAAAGCCACACCAAAAAACTGCCAGGCCATCCAGTGCTTATCAAGGTGGTCAGTTGAAACATTCCCACCTAGCTCCAGCAGACAAGAGTCTTTGTCCCACCCTGGTCATTCCACAGATATATAAACTCTTTTCCTAGTTCCAACAGACCTCCCTACCTCTGAGGATGCTTGCCATAGATGCAGGCGAAACGTCAGGAGAAAATGCCATATAGCCCGAAAAAACCCACAAGAACCTAGTGATTCCAGCCATGAAAGCCTTCGACAATGCATTCACCCCTGCCTCTGGCAGGCAAGAGCTCTTTCTCTCACCCTGGACATCATTCTCCTTATTCATATACACACACCATTTCCCCCAGTTTCCAAGAGACCCCCCCCCCCCCCGCCCTCTGAGGAGGCCTGCCTGCCAGGGATGTGGGCGAAAGGTCAGGAGGGAGTGCTTCTGGGAGAGGGGGCAGGAAAAGGCCTTCCGGGCCCAGCCAGGGCGCCTCCTTTCGGGACACGAGAGCAACCACAGGCAGGCAGGCAGGCAGGAAGGGGGCGGGGCCTGAGGAGACCCCCCTCTTCCCCCCCAAAAGACTCACCTCCTTCCTCCGCCTCAGCCGCCTCTTCCTCCCAAAATGGCGCCGGACGCCGAGGGGGCGGGGCCCGAGTGACGTCAATCATCTCTTCGAAGGGGGCGGGGCCGCGCTCATGATTGGTCGTCCGCGGACCTCATTTGCATGTGCCAATGGGAGAGAGGGAGGCGGCGCCCTGGGAAGGCTCCTCCCTCCCTCCCAAGCCTTTCCCCATTGGCTGAGCAGCAGCCGACGGCTGCTGCTCACCAATGGGGAAAGGCTTGGGAGGGAGGGAGGAGCCTTCCCAGGGCGCCGCCTCATTAGTAGCTATTGCCATGGTAACTAGCTTGACCTTGAAGGAGACACTGGGGGTGGCGACGGCCGGCAGGGAGCTCTGGCGTGGGCAGGCCCAGGAGGTAACGAAGGCCCTTCCCTCATAGAATCCTAGAATCCAAGAGTTGGAGGAGACCATCCTCCAGTCCAACCCCATTCTGCCAAGAAGCAGGAATATTGCATTCAAGATCACCCCTGACAGATGGCCATCAGCTCATAGAATCCTAGAGTTGGAAGAGACCTCATGGGCCATCCCAGTCTAACCCCATTCTGCCAAAAAGCAGGAATATTGCATTCAAATCACCCCTGACAGATGGCCATCCAGCCTCTGTTTAAAGCTTCCAAAGATTCTTAACTTATGCGCATAGAATCCTAGAATCCTAGAGTTGGAAGAGACCTCCTGGGCCATCATCCAGTCCAACCCCATTCTGCCAAGAAGCAGGAATATTGCATTCAAAGCACCCCTGACAGATGGCCATCCAGCCTCTGTTTCAAAGCCTCCATAGGGCAGAGAGTTCCACTGTTGAACAGCCATAGAATCCTAGAATCCTAGAGTTGGAGGAGACCTCCTGGGCCATCATCCAGTCCAAACCCATTCGGCCAAGAAGCAGGAATATTGCATTCAAAGCACCCCTGGCAGATGGCCATCCAGCCTCTGTTAAAAGCTTCCAAAGAAGGAGCCTCCACCACACCCCAGGGCAGAGAGTTCCACTGCTGAACGGCTCTCACAGTCAGAAGCAGGAAACATTCAAAGCACCCCTGACAGATGGCCATCCAGACTCTGTTTAAAAGCTTCCAAAGAAGGAGCCTCCACCACACACCAGGGCAGAGAGTTCCACTGCTGAACGGCTCTCACAGTCAGAGCAGAAGACTTCCACCCACCGACAGATGGAATCCAGTCTCTTTAAAAGCTCCAAAGAGCCTCCACCACACTCCCGGGGCAGAGAGTTCCACTGCTGAACGCTCTCACAGTCAGAAGCAGGAAAGACAGCATTCAAAGCACCCCCAACAGATGGCCATCCAGCCTCTGTTCAAAGCTTCCAAAGAAGGAGCCTCCTTCCACCACACTCCCTCCGGGGCAGAGTGAAGGCAGAAGGGAGCTGAAGACCCTTCCTTCCATCTTGTCCAATACTACTCATATAATATAGTATGTGTTGTATAGGCATATTTGTAATATTTATCATGTCATACAATATAATACTAGTAATAATAATACAATTTTATAATTATTATTATTATTATCTTCTAGATCAATAAAAATGCCATGTTCCTTCGTGGGATTGACAGGACCCAAAAACCACTGGACGAATCGACACCAAATTTGGACACAAGGCACCTCACAACCCAATGTATGTCCTTCACTCAAAAATTATTGATTTTGTCATTTGGGAGTTGTAGTTGCTGGGATTTATAGTTCACCTACAATCAAAGAACATTCTGGACCCCACCAATGATGGAATTGGACCAAACTTGGCACACAGTTCTCCCATGACCAACAGAAAATACTGGAAGGGTTTGGTGGGCAGTGTCCTTTGGTTTTGGAGTTGTAGTTCACCTACATCCAGAGATCACTGTGGACTCAAACAATGATGGATCTGGACCAAACTTGGCACAAATACTCAATATGCCCAAATGTGAACACTGGTGGAGTTTGGGGGAAATAGAATCTTGACATTTGGGAGTTGTAGTTTCTGGGATTTATAGTTCACCTACAATCAAGAGCATTCTGAACCCCACCAACGATAGAATTGGGCCAAACCTCCCACACAGAACCCCATGACCGCCAGAGTGAGCCACAGCAACGCGTGGCAGGGGGCGGCTAGTAATAATTATAGATTTACCTTACATGTAATATTACTAATAATACTACAATATAATGGTATAGTCAGTGCAATATGGTGATGTATAATACTGATATGGTGCTATGCTAATAATATGATAGACTGTAGGAAATATATATTGTAAGCCGCTCTGAGTCCCCTTTGGGGTGAGAAGGTGATGCGGAGCATCTTTTCCCCCCCCCCTCGAGTATTTGTAGTTCGCCAAGGGCCGGACAATGGATTCTGTTGCTTCCTGACCCAGCACACATAACTGGGTTCCTGTTTCTTCTTTGTGAATTCTCTGGCTTGTGCACTGGACCCTGGCCCTTGATCAGGGAAATGTAGTTTTCCGAAGGACATTGCCCCACACCCCTCCGCCTGGAAGTCCCCTTACAGATTCTTTTGCCTTTACTTATTGACTTGATGCCCCATCGTCTTGGACCTTCTCCACGGACTCCGAACCAGGCCCCTGGGCAGGAACAGCCTCCGCCTGCGTGTGCACCTTCGCCAAGGAGATCATAATTCTGGCAGAAATGAAATGTATGAAATGTATGAAGCATGAGAAAATGTTTATAATTGATATCTATCACATAAGATGCACCCTGACTCTCTCCCCCTCCCACCTTTCCTCCCTCTGAACCTTGCCCCAGAAAAGAATGTGACCTGAGGTTATTGTCAGGAGGAAACCTCATTTCCTCAAAAGTAAATCCATTCATATTAACATTTTGCATGGGCCGGGGTTGATCCTATCTCCGGGCACATTTTCAGAGTTCAGACAATGGGCCAGGGATAAGTCAACCGAAACCTGGAAAGAAGGATTGATTAACCCAACCCATGGTATTTGTGTAAGCTCCTTTGTGATTAAGGGTCTCCTTGTTTACAGAGTCCGAGATCCAAATGTCATCAACAGCCCCTTTTCATGTCTCTACACATCCCCAATCAAGGAATCAGGAAGCTCTTTGTTTCTTCCGTCTGCCACCCCACAGCTTAGAACAAAAGTTCTCAATCGGCTGGCGGACACCTCCCAGGCACTCCGCCCCCTATGAGCTGTCAAACCAGGTCCCACCTCCTGGTCGCTGATTGGACCATCCTCAGAAGCGCTAGAAAGGCTCCGATTGGCCCCCTGGAGGCAACAGCGCCCGGCGATTGGAGGGAAGGCGGGACATACGGCCCGGCCTCCTCCCAGCTGTTCCAGGGACAGCCAATCAGGACGAAGCCAGCTGACGGAGGGTGGGCGGGATTTTCAAACTGTTTTTCCTTTGTTCTGACAATATAAAAATGCCTGTAACTCCTATGAATGTATGCTTATGGTGGAAATATCCCTGTAACGCATCCTTTTCAGCTGAATCGCAGAAATAAACGCTTCGGTCGCTGGTACCTCTTCAGCCTCTGGTGAGATTGATTGCTAATACTTCGCGCTTTGGATTGGCTCCTGCTGGCCGCTCACCAAGGTCAGGGACCCCTTTAGCGGTCTCCAGGGATCTCCTTCACTGGGAGAAGCCCCCCAAAAGAGCTCGATATCATTTGGCTTAACCACGAAGGGACTCTGCTTGAGGTCCAGACTAAATTATAGCCTAAATTCTCAAGCAGGCGCCTTGGACTGATTCTTTGGGCCAGCAGCGAAGGAGGAGCGGCTTGGGAAAAGAGGCGCCTCTCCTGATTCGGACCTTCATTTGACCAGCTAACCAAAACTACAAATTCTCCCTCTGCCACCTCCTCCCAAGCTCTGACCCGGAGTTTCAGCACAAAGGAGCGCCAGGGAAGCCTTGATCCAAGGACTTCCAGGAAGAGGAGCGACCGACGCGGAAGGGGAAAAGGGAAAACGTCCGGACGGGTAAGAAAAGCAACCGTGGGCTGCCCTGGTGGTCGTCAGGTGGGAGGAGATTCTAGGCTTTCCGAACCAGCTTCGGAGTCGGCCCACTGGGGAGGGATTCTCTAGATCTCGGTAACAAATTCCTGACTGGGGGTAGCGAACACCTAGGCGTTTGAGGCCCGGAATTGCAATTCAGCTCGCTTTTTGCGGACTTGGCGGGAGCTACGTGGGAAAGGGAGTCCTCCCCTTTTGGACTGCCTAGCTGCCAAGTGCTGATCGCCCCGAGCTCTCCTATCCAGGAACTTTTCAGGTTCTGGCCTGCCTTACGGTTGGGGGGGCTTCCCTGATTAACCACTGGTTTGTGGAGCTGGTAGCTGAGAGATGGGCGTCTGTTCTTCCAGGATCAAATGTCCTGTCCCATCGGATACACCTTTAGGAAGAATACTGGCGGAATGGGACAGGGTTGCGTTGCGCCGCCAACGCAGGCCAGTAGGGTAAAATACAGCATGAAGAAGTGGCCCACCAGGCCCTTGGAAGGGGGAGTTTCGTGGCCACCTCATGGCAGTACTGACCCGGAGCTCATTCTGAAGCTCCAGCAGGACTGCTGTGAGAGGGCCAAATGGACCGAGCTTGCCTATGCATCATGCCTTTTACCATGTACCGGAGGGGGGTGAAAGGGGGTAGTTGTGACCAACTCCTACCATGCAAGGAGAAGGTGACAAAGCCCCAACCCCCGGGAAACCCCCTCCAGACCCTTTTTTTTCCCCCTCTCCTTGAGAAAAATTGTTTGCCCCCTACCTTCTCACTCCCATTTCCCTTTACCCAATCTCCCTGACTCCTTCCTCCCCTTTCCAACCCCTCCATTTCCCTATTCCCTATTTATGATATGTCTGCATTTATATGCCCTTCCATTTTTTTCTGTTCTTTGAGGAAATGCACTAGGGATGGGTAGTTCTCTGAAAAAAGGGGACCGGAAGTAGATTCTTTGCTCTCTCCCTCTCCTGCTTTCTCCTGTGCCATCTTTTCCTTCCTTCAGATGGGAAAAGAAGGCATTGCTCATTCCCTTCTTCACCAAGCTACTACAAATCCCTTTCTTTCAAAAGCTAAATCTTCAGTGCCTTGTGTGTTTCTCCCCACCAGGAGAGACCCTGCCACTGATGTGACTCAGCTGCCTTGCAAAA